AACTAACATGGAATGGACCAGTTGGTGGAAAACCACAAACATGAAACAACCCCTAGCAAAGCAAGCAGCCGAGCCCCACTCACTGGCCAACAAGAAACACCTTGCGTGTCTAAGAGGAATTAATCCCAAGTGTTGCACCAATCATCATTTAAAAAATCTTCTTTGCATTTAACAGTTTTTGCTTTGCTTATTAATAAAATTATTCAGCTTTACACAATACAATGCTATCATTATTTTACACAAAATAAAGAAAACTAAAATTCTGACACCAAATATTTATTTAATAAAATACTTCTCCAAAATTAGTTCTATTTTTTTTTATATCTGTCAATTAACTCTTTACTTTTTCTTACAAAACTACCCCAACCAATTAATCAAAGTATCTTAAAAGAAAACAATCTAAGAAATGAATCACCAACCAAAAAAAAAGTTATAAAAAAAATAAGCCATGAACCATATAACAGAACTTCCGAGCTACAGCTAATAGTGCCAAAAGGGTCAAAACGAAGACAGTTTTTCAATGAATTCGGAAAAGATTTTATTCACAATGAGGACTTTGGAATCAGCAATCCAATTGTTAATAAAGTTATTTAGATTTGAAAGGAGTGATTAAAGAAATTGTTAATAAAGTTTCGAACCTGGTCCGAAACTTTGAGTACTATATGTAGTGATTTTTTTATTTTTATTTTTATTTTTAGTTTATATCACATCAATAAACCAATAACACCATATATATATATATATATATATATAAATGACATAAGAATGTAATTTAAAGAAAAAATTTTTATATTTAAAATTATTAAATATATGAATGTAATTTTTAATTGATAGTTACTGGCTATTAAGTTAAATTTATACATTTATTTTTTCATAGTAATTTTTAGTTTAAATGTATTTTTATTTAATAAATTTTATAACTATTATGCATATAAAATGAATATATAAATTAGATTGTTTTAGTTAAATTATATGCAAATTATAATCATATATATATATGACATAATTTATTATTGTTCATTGTATAGGACTAAAGATTTATTGTATAAAAAAGCCAACTACGCTTGATGCATTTTTTAAGAGAAAAGCTCCTCAAAATTTTGAAAGTAATGAGTCATCTCGGGTTCTTGCCAATGAGCCTTCTCCAATCCCTGATAATCAACATCCACTTAAAGTGCCAAGAGTTGAAAATGTAGAAGTTGATATTTCTTTATTAGAAAAAGGATACAAGAAAGCATTGTTCAATTTTGCAATATGCTACAAATCAGCGAGACAAAATTCAATGAGCTTATATACTAGTTAAACCTTATCAGTCTATTTTAACCAAGTATCTAACTTTCGGAAAAAAGAGTTCTCGCTGTTTCCAATTTTCATAGTTTAAAAAATGTCTTAATTGGTTAGAATATTCACATATAGTAGATGCTACTTTTTATTTACCTTGTTATTTATTTAATAATAATTATGGTAGTAGAAATGATGGAAAAGATGCATTCACAAAAAAAGGATTCTGTGCTTGGAAGAATGTGAATAATGGAAAAAATTGTGATGATTTAATGGCTTCTTTCCATATTGGCTTCTTTCCTAATTCATCACATAATGTTTATGTGAAATATTGTGATGATTTAATGGCTTAATCTCAACGCATAGATAAGGTCTTCAACAAATAAAAAGCTAAAACTATTGCAAACAATCGATTATGACTAAAAACTTCTATTGATATAGTTAGATGGCTTACATTTCAGGCATGTGCATTTAGAGGTAATGATGAAAATATTGGTTCATTGAATAGGAGAAATTTTATTGAGTTGATAAAGTTTCTTGCATCTTATAATTCAAGTATTTCTAATGTTGTTCTTCAAAATGCCTCTAGTAATGCACAATATACATCTCCTAGCATTCAAAAGGAAATTTTATACATTTTTGCTAAAAAAGTACGTGCAGTAATTCATGATGACATTGGGGATTTCAAATTTTGTCTTATCATTGATGAAGATAGGGATGAATCAAAAAGAGAACAAATGGCTACAGTTTTGAGATTTGTTGATAGAGATGGACACATGCAAGAAAGGTTTTTTTGATATTATTCTTATTTCAGATACTTTATCATTGATTTTGAAAAATGAAATAGAATCTGTTCTTTCTTGTCAAAATCTTAATGTTTTAAATCTCCGTGGTCAAGAATATGACGGAGCTAGTAATCTGCGAGATGAATGGAATGGTTTACAAGCTTTATTCTTGAAAGAGTGTTTTCATACTTATTATATCCACTGTTTTACTCATCGTTTGCAATTAGTATTAGTTGTTACAGCGAGAAAAGTTAGCCCAATCCATAATTTTTTACTAAGCTTATATTGATTGTCAATATTATAACTGTTTCACCTAAATGGCATGACCAATTCAGGGTTGCTCAAACTATAAATATTTATAATCAAATTGCTGGGATTCTCATTTAGAATCTATTCAAGATTTATTACAGAAGTTTGAGCCTATTTGTGAAGTTGTGGAAAAAAATTACTCAAGAAGGAAATTATTCTCTTGATGGTGATGCTGAAAGTGCTCTAGATGTTTTGAAATCATTTGAATTTATTTTTATTTTGTATCTTATGAGAGCCATCTTGGAAATTAGTCATGATCTTCTCAAGCTTTGCGATATAAGAGTCTAGATATTCTAAATGTAATGACTTTAGTATCTACTACCAAATGCTTGATTCAAAAAATGAGAGAATCAAGGTGGGATAATTTTTTGAAGAAAGTTCTATTCTTTTTGAGAAGCATGACATTGACATTCTTAATATGGATGCTCTTTATACCCCTAGAAGAGGTCGGTGTTGCCCAAATTTTGAATATGTTTCAATGGAGCATCATTATCATATTAATTTGTTTATTGCTATTATAGATACATAGTTACATGAGATGAATAGCAGATTTAATGAAAATGCTGTGAAGTTGCTCAAACTTAGCACTACTTCAGATCGAAGAGATGATTATAAGTTGCTTAATGTTGATCACATTTGTGAATTAACAACTAAGTTTTATCCAAATGATTTCACTGAATAAGAGAGGTTATATCTTAGAATACAAGTACAAAATTTTGAGCTTGATGTTCCCTAACATTCTAAATTGAAGCATTTTTTTAAATAATTATTTCAAAGTTATGCCAAGGATTGGTTAAAACAAGAAAATCTTTGACTTATCCTTTGATTGATCGTTTATTTCGTTTGATATTAACCCTTCTTGTTTCAACTGCTACGAGTGAAAGATCATTTTCAACTATGAATATTGTCAAGAACAAGCTTAGAAACAAGATGGAAAATGAATTTCTTGTTGATTGTTTGGTTACCTATATTGAAAGAAGGATTGTTGAACAGTTTGATAATAAGTTAATCATTGATAAATTTTATGATATGAAGGAACGACATACTCAACTTAAGTAAATGTATAAATAGTTAGTTGATTTTTATGTAAATTTGATGATATTACAAGACAATATATTTTACCATTGATGTAATTATTATTTTTTTAATATATAGGATTTTTATATTTATTCTCACCCCCTTATATATAAATTCTAGATCTGTCAGTTGTTACCATCATATCTAAGGTCAACATGATCGAAGATGCTATGACATTTTGGGTAGATTTTACAATTACCCATCATGTGTGCAAGAACTAAGATTTTTTCTAAGAAATTAAAGAAAAAGATGGAGATGTTCTGTACATGGGCATTAATGCTTCGACTGTCCAAGTCAAGAGCAAAGGGACTATAGAACTTGAATTTACTTTTAAAAAAGGGCTTACTCTTACTAACGTGTATAACGTACCAGGAGTTAGAAAAAATCTAATTTATTTACCCCTAATAAGTTTGAGTTTAAGTCTGTATTTGAGCAAGACAAGTTTATTCTAAGGGTGGAATGTTTGTATTTGAGCATGACTTGTTGACTATTTGAGGAAGGCAATGAATTGTTATGAATGGATTAGGAGCTATGACAGAATGAATTTTAATCACTTAAGTATTCATACTTTTCCACAGAACTAGATGTTTCTAGAAACCACTTTGACTAAACCATTGCCAAATTTGTATTTCCATTTGTTGGTTGTCGAGCTGTAAGATAATTAAACATTTGCAATTCAATGACATAATTGTCAAATAGGGCTTCTTTTAATTATAATTTAAAACTTTTGAAGGACTGGGGTGCTTCAGAATCAGTGCCTGATTGATCTCGATTGAGATTTATTACTTGAAAAAAAACCTAGTTGACTAATTGCTCTCTGGAAGATCTCCACATCCAAAGCTCTTTGGCATACGATCTAAGGTAAGGTAAGGTTGAACCATCCTCAGTATGAAGCCTGTGGCTAGACAAGAATTATTCAAGAAATCCGTTAAAAATCATATTTATTCAATAGTTGCAGGTCAAGGCCTGGATGCAATATGGTACCAAGCCAAACATGTAGAATTGAAATCTTAGATCAAAACACTATATATGGATGATCTGAACTGCCTAAGCAAGAATTCTTCAACAGCAGACCAAAAAATACATAGAAAAATTTTGAAAAAATCTGTTATTTTCTTTTTTTTCCATTTTAGATCATGACTTATTTCCTAGTTCCATCAGACAAACTTAAAAAAATCAACCACAAAAATTGTTCTCGTCTTTGAGGAACTCGTATACAACTCTTCCTTGCCTTGAAAAACAGAATGAGAATCTCACACTCTCAGGTCTCACTAATCTCAATTTTGTATTTAGAAGCCACATAGAGGCCTTCCACGCATAATTGGCCAGAATTAGATTCTGACAACATGGCTGTTTTTTATTTTAATAAAAGTTTTGTTTCTGATGAGAGCAATAATTCTTCCATAAACTAAAATAGAACATTAGAATAGTTGGTGCCGTTCCATATCTTCTGAAAACAAGCTCTTACAAGATATCTTGATGAAACTAGAATGATAAGAATAAAAGACATGATAAACAAATAAATAAAAGAATAATGAAACTCAGATATTATCGGCCCCGAAGAACTGTAACAGTAACATCATTCACAGAACATCTTTGATGGCTTGGTTCAGAAGAACTAGTCCTAGATGAGGCATGTCTCTCAGTAAATGCAGGTTGATTTGGTGAGGGAAGTGCAGAAGTTTCACTACTTAGCATTGAAAGAACCTTGGAAGTTGTTGGTCTATCTGCTGCAAAATCTTGCACACATAACAAACCAACATGTAAGCATCTCAAGATTTGACTTTCAAAGCCTTGATAAGAAATTCTTTGGTCTATAAAAGTCACAATTTTGTCTTCATTCCACAATCTCCATGCCTGAAAATGTTATTTAGTAGCAGAACAAAGCTCATGAGATGATAAACAGTCGACTGCTAAACAAATAGAGACTTGAATTGAACTGGACTTACCAGTCCCAAAAGACTGAGTGCTTGTTCGTTGTTATAAAAGCCAGTGTTTCTTTTCCCACTGACAATCTCTATTAACAACACCCCAAAGCTGAATACATCTGATTTCTCTGAAAATCTCCCTTGCATTGCATATTCAGGAGCCATATAGCCACTGCATATTTCAAGGCAAATTTGTTATCAGGACGTGATTCCAATATGAAATGAGGATTTCACATTGAAACTTATTCAGAAAGATACATCCACCTACTATGTCCCAACCACTCTCTTTGTATTGGCTTGATTTTCTTTGCTACCAAAAATTCTTGCCATGCCAAAATCAGAAATTTTTGGATTTAGCTCCTCATCCAATAAGATGTTACTTGCCTTTAGGTCCCGATGAATGATCCTTAATCTGGAATCCCTGTGCAGGTAGAGGAGACCTCTACCTATCCCTTCAATTATATTGAAGCGCTTATTCCAGTCCAAGACTTGCTTGCTGGGCTCTAAAAGAAGTATCAAGAGAAAAAATAGTACTACGGAGCGTGTATAAATGCTATGATAAATGAAACTAATATTAGGACTGAAGTTTTGATGTAGGAGAATTAAGCTTGTATAGAAAATATTTGTGATACGAGAGATTCAATGACTTTGGAAGTATAAGACTAGAGATGTACTAGATAAATAACAGATTTTCCAGATACTAACCAAACAGGAATGCATCCAAGCTTCCATTTGGCATGTATTCATAGATCAGCATCTTCTCTTCTCCTTCAATGCAGCAACCAAGCAGTCTAACAAGATTACGATGTTGGAGTTTAGAAATCACCACAACCTCATTCATGAATTCCTCTAGCCCTTGACCAGAGGATCTTGAAAGCCTTTTCACTGCTATTTCTTGTCCATTTGGAAATTTCCCCTGAAATGAGCATCAGATTAATTACACTAATTTCCTCCAGAGCAATATAAGATCAAGATCAGCACAAAACAATGCATTACATTATATACAGGGCCAAAACCACCCTGCCCAAGTTTATTGGTCAAATTGAAGTTGCCCGTTGCTAATGCCAGCTCCTCAAACTTGCACAGTGGTAGTTCTTTGAGTTTAACATCTCTCGCAGTAATTTCTTGAATGACTTCTGTTGAATTTTCCTGAAATTCTGAGTAATTACGAAATAATGGCACCTTTCTCAACTTCTCCATTCCTGGTTTTCAGAACACAGTTGTTGTTTATCAACATAACAAAACATCAAATGCTCCATAAACATATTTTAGCTATGTAACTCTGCTTCACTTTACCTCTATGGTTAACCAACCTCATCCATGTAAAGTAAGCACACATGGTCATGATAATTGACCCGATGCTCACTGAAATTGCAATTACTGTGCGCTTTTTCCTCTCATTATCTGTTAAATGGAATAAATATTAGAATATTTTTTAGATAATGGAACTAAAAATTGCAACTTGCAAGACTATACCAATAAAAAGAATAAAGCAGGAAGTTCATAATGAAGCTAGACGAAGGATTTTCAAATTTACGTATAGTCGATGCGGAGAACAGTGGAAGAATATTTCAAACTATCCAGTTGGGTTAGAAGAAAAGGGCAACCAAATTAGATCAAAAGTAAGAATATATAAGAAACAACAGACAAGGCAGAATGTGGTACCTAGCTCTGAAGATGCAAGACGAATGTAAAGATCTGCCCCACCGTTGTCAAATTTCTGCAAATCAATTAAATTTCCTTTCCAAATCATGCAACCAATGCCGTTGAGATAGGTATAAGCTGCGCAGGAACAATAATTCACACACTGGCTTTCACACTTATTTTCTGGAACGTCTGATAGCTCTTGGAAGTCTGGCAACTTCATTGTTGTGAGCTTCTGAAACCCATCTTTCTTACCAGTTCCATTCCCTCACACTGCAAAAGCAACCTCCTCACACACCCGCCACTGAAGTTCCCTCGTTTCCATGCATCTTCGTGTGCAGGCTCAAATCCTGGCAAACAGGTACAAATTTGGGGCGTCCTTGAATTGCAGCTTCCAAATGGGCCACACTTGCCATAAACTCCACACTCAGTTTCTAGACTCGACCAGGTGACTTCCCAATCTTGTTTCTCTTCTGCCCAATATATCTGCACTAGACTTCCATCTGGATTGAGGCGAAAGAATGAGGTCATACCTTCCACAAAAGTGAAGGACATGGTTACACTTCCTTCGTTGTCATCATCAACAATAACCCTACTTTGATAAGTAGAAGTCATGGATTCTACTCCAGTGAAAACCTGATTGTCCCATGGACCACTACGCCAGTATTTGTAGTTACCATTCCACACGGTCAATTGCGGGACAGTTTGGAGATCAACCCCCGCCGAAAAGTTTCCGACTGATGGATCAGAAGGGCTTCTCCATGATTTTAACACGACCTTTTCACCCGTACTTTGATCACTGCTCAATTTCATCTGCTGTAAGAGCGATTCTGAAGGGTGCTGAAAACTCTGCCACAGCATTTTGACATCAGAACCATCTTGCAAAACGAGGTTCCCGTGTTTAAGAGCCGGGCACTGGAATTCACCATAGAATTTGACACGTTTGATGACCAAATAATATCTTTCTGTCCATTCAGAACTACAAGATTGCCTTCTTCTGAGATGGTTATAGTCCCAGAAGAATCATTCAGAGGCTTTTCTCTATTTGCTACCCATACAACTGATCTAACACGGACGTTGCTGAACCAGATGCCAACGTAGCGATTGGAGGTATTGGGAGGGCTGAAGAATCCCAGCTCAAAGGTCTTGTTGGTGAGACAATTGTTTCAGGGTCGGTGATGGGATGGCTAGATGTGATGGTGTCTAAGGTAAAGTTACACTTCGAAGCAAAACAAGAGAAGAAGAGGAAGAGGACCTCAACATGAAGTGCCCTTTTACAGATGATGAATTCCATGACTTTCGGATGATTTTGGGTGGGTTAGGATTAGATGCTGCACTGCCATGTTACGGACTATTTATGCTAAGATGATTTTTCAATTGCTATGATTATTCATACTTTTCAGCAGGAGCACATCTTTGGAAATTTCTTGGCCGACCATAACAAAAGATAGTAATTGGCTGTCTAGGTCCAGTAACGTAGGTATCAAAGAAGAATTCATTATTTTGTAATTTGAGAACAGCAATTCCACCGTATTTGATGGGTAGAAAATTTCAATTAGCTCACTTTTTTATGTATGCCACTGACTAACACTGAAGCGCAATAAATTGAATGCTCTAACTTTCAAATTTTTATAGGTTTTAAGATGGAAATTCTTATGACAGTAACTTCTCAGATCTTTATATTATTAGTCATTTCAATATTACAAGGCAATTGGAAGCTGTTCACTTTTTTCCTTCCCCTCCTGTTCTAGGTTGGCAAAGTTGGCACGAACGTACAGTACAGGACATCGTTGTTCTCTTTTCACACCTCTTATTATGTCATGAAATTCAAATCAACTATTCTATCAAAGCCTCCATTCTCATACCCGACTAGTATGAGTTTCTACCTTTCCCATTGACCGTCTTTTTTGTTTTCTTTTTTTTTTCATTCATTTATTGAAGGTTTTTCACTTGCTGAATTAAAATCTACACCGCAGCATCCTTCTTGATCACTAAAACTTGATGACTGTTTTTAATTTACAAAATTAACTGACGCCTAGAGTAACTTTGTTTTGTTATTACGTCTTCCCACTTCAAAATTGAAGAAAAATACGTTACACATTAGTAAGCCTCTTCATTCTAGGCTTAAGTTAGGACATCCCTTCATGCACAAAACACTCATTGACGTTAAAGTTGACCGGGTCATCAACACAGAAGTCACGTAAGCGAATTGCTGTATAATTTTCTAGCAATGGGCAATCACTTTCTTCCTTTAGCATCCATGTATGTCGCGGAGCGAATTCTTCAGCCTCGAAATTCAACATATCACGCGGCACTCAAACGTAGGCCATATGCTCCTGTCAATCTCAACCCACTTGACACTCGTCTTTGGCACTCACACGTCACAGTAGGGTAGAGACGAGAATTTGCCAAAAAGCCAATCTTTCTTATTTCTCTATTTTTCCGGATTACAACTCTAGGGATGGCCAATCCCGTCTTATACACAATTCATACCAAGTGAAGTCAACTAATCTAAATGACAATTACAGAGTTATATTGAAAAGAAGCACCGCGGAGGAGGAGGACAAGTTGCAAAGAAGGTCCAATATGAGGAAGATTCATTCCGGTATCTTGAGAATGTTCTCCCAGTCTCCATCCACTTTCACCCCAACGGCCCACGTCATTCTGAACAATTCCTCAACCATCTTCAAGATTGTTAAATAACCGTTAGCCATTAGTAGTGTTTTAAAAATCAAACAACAAATAGAACCATTAATCTTACTTGATACAAGTTAGACCTGTTTAACCAATACTTTAGCTAGAATTATATCATAATATATCAAATAAATAAATAAATATGATTAAAGAAATTAAAATTATGATAATATATAAATATGTTATATATTAGCACATGTACTTTTTTGGTATTCCATCCCTTTGATCAAATATATAATATATAAGTTTGTTTGTGTCTGCTTGAAAAGGGTGGCCCACAGAAGGCCTTTTCATCCACTAGACTAGGCAAACTATGCTCGTATTCCTTAACAAAACCCAGATTGTATCTATCTAGTTCCATTATTCTTGGTAGTCGCTGGTGTTTTTTTATATATTTCAAAAAAAAAAATAAAAATACAAAGCAATGGTGAGCAGCTAATTATTGTCTTTTTAATATTAATATAATAATTTTTTATTTATCAAAATAGTTAAATCTTATTTATTTATCAAAATGATTAAAAATAACCTCCATTGAAAAATTGATTTTGTTAGAATTGACTTTCTTACAAAATTGATTTGGGTAAAGTTAATTTTTTTAAGAAATCAACTGCGCTGGCACTAATTTTCTAAGGAAATCATTTCCAAAAAATCGACCTCATAGGAAAACCAATTCAAGGAGCATCAACTTCTCTATTAAAAAAGTTGGTTCTGATTCAACTGATTTGTATAAAAAAGTCAGTTTAGTTCAAACCGACTTCCTAATATAAGCCATTTTAATCATTTTGATAAAAAAAATTATTTTAGTACATAAAAATATGATTATATTAATGCAAAAAAGCCGATGATTATTCATGTCTAGTTTAGCTTTGGCCACTGGTCGCTTGATGGAATGCTAACAGTGGCAGAAAAACCTGATATATATGGTATAACGTATCTTTTACATATAAAAGCAATTACAACGATGCATAATACCAAGAATTGGAAGTTGGTTTCAAATTAACTAAGAGTATTGACGAGAAATCCTTTGTCGACAGCAACTATTTTGGCTTTGTTGGCAATCTCCGTTTTTTGGCTATGCGTGACATCCTATGCACTTTGTGGTTTTTGTCAGCTCCTTGTTTTAGCATCAACTTCTTACTATAGGAAGGTATTCTCTCATTGGATCCTTTTGTTGCTGTTATCTGCTGCTAGTTATTGCCATTGTCGTTGCCACTACTCCATGGTCGATGCTCTGTTTTCATGCACCTCTGCTCTGTTGCAACTAAAGAGAAAGGAGGGCAACAAGCTGCAAAAACAGGCCTAATTGGTTTGGGTGCAGGAGGAAGACAGCCAAGTCTATTGAAATTCAAACCAGCAAACCGGTTTTACCAGTGTGTCTGGTTTATGGCAGCTTTAACTGGTTCTCATTGGTTTGGTATAAATTGGTCAGTCTGGTCAAATCTAATTTTTAAAACATTGCTAGCAAACATGTACGCATATCAAACTTTCATTTTCAGACCCTTGATAGGAAAAAATTGGATCTATAGTATTCAGAGTTTTACTTTCATACCACAAACTCCATGCCTGAAATGGTTAATTAGTAACAGAAAAAACTCCATTGTCAGATAAACCAACGAGGATTAAACAACTAAAGACATGCAAGAGAATTGAACTGACTTACCAATCCTAGAGAGCTCAGAGATTCCTTATTGACGTAAAAGCTAGCAGTTCTTTCCCATTTACAATCTCTATTAACAACATCTAAAGCCGAGTACTCCGATTTCTCTGGAAACCTCCCCTGCATTGCTTAATCAGGAGCCATATAGTCACTGCGTGACCTTAAAGTTAATTTCAAAGCATTAGAAACCCATATAAACTAAGGGCTGCCATGGCAAGCAATGAAACATTTTAAAGCAAAGGTATCCACTTAGTATGCGCCAACCACCATCCTAGTGTCGGCTTAATTTTCATTGCCTTTAAAAATTCTTGCCATGCCAAACTCTGAAATTTTAGGATTTAGCTCTTCGTCTAACAAGATGTTACTTGCTTTTAGGTCCCAATGAAAGATCTTTAATCTACTAACCCTGTGAAGGTAGAGAAGACCTCTATCTATATCCTTTAATGATACTAAGGCACACACACCAAAATGAAACTTGCTTGCAAGGCTTAGAGAGAATTATTCAACAAAAAGAGGGGTTCTGCTGAGAGAAAACACTAATGAAATTACTATTTGGATGGGACATGAAACCTATGCCCACATAATATGCATATGCTATGCAAGAACAAATCTTTAACCGCCACTTGTCACACTCATTTTTTAAAGTAGATGATATGTCTTGCAAGTCTGGAAATTTCATTGTTGTGAGCTTCTGGAAACCATCTTTCTTGACATTCCCATTCCTCTCACCCTGCAAAAGAGCCTTCCTCACATGCCCACCACTGAAGTTCATGTGTTTCCCTTCATCTTTGCGAATAGGTTCAAAACCTAGCAAAGAGGTATAAATTAGAAATTTGATTGAATTGCAACTTCCAAATTGGCCACATTTGCTATAGACATTGCACTCAGTTTCTCCACTCCACCAGTGACCACCCAATCCTACTTCTCAACCATCCACACCCTCTTCACATGACTTCCATCTAGGTTTGGGTGATAGTGCAAGGTTTGACCAATTTCATAGATGCATTCCCCTCCTTGTCATACTCAACACTAGAACAATTGAGATAACCATAATTCATAGATTCTATTCCAATAAAGATCTGACCATCCCAAGGACAATTGCCCCAATACAAACAGCTACCATTCAGCATAAAAGTTTGTATAACCCAAAGTTGTTAAATCGTGAATCATATCGTAAATCGTTTTTGTATTTTACGAATCGTGAATCGTATCATATCGTAAGATTTAGAAACACATATAAAAATATTTTAAAATACATAATTACACACTTAAAACATGAATGTCATATACACTAAAATATCATAATGTCATATACGAAACATGTCACATTAATGTAAAAAAAATTCACTCTAAGTACAATTTAATTACTAGATAATCTATATATATTCATTCTCATCTCTTTTAAGGCCAATATCATCAATTTGTGCATCGTTATCAACTATAACCAAGTTTTCATTCTCTTCATCTCCACTTTCACCACTATCATCATCTCCACCATCTTCAACTTCACAAGCAACTTGTATGGGCTTTTTTCCTTTATCCTTTTTGCCCATTACATTAAGGTTTCTTGATCCTAAACATGAAATACATGAAATATAATGTAATATAAGAAGTTATGATTTAAGAATTTAGATAATTAGATAAGAATAATTTTTTAGATAACATGCCTTTTTTTATTTTTTTTACTTGGAGCTCCTTTATCAATATTAAAGCACTCTTGGATATCCATCCAAGAGTTATCTACTTCTTACTCCAAATCTATTAGACAAGACTCCTACTCTTCTGTGATCCATTCATCATTGGGTTCTATATCCGAAAGGCAAATTGGATCATATTTTCTCTTTTCTCCTCTCATATCTTTTGTCTTGACTGAAGACTGAGATTGTATTTGACAAACACAAGAGCATTCAATTTTTGTTACTTTAAACGGTTTCTTTTCTTAAAATGAAATGCTCAAAGACACTCCAATTTCTTTCACATCCTGTTGCACTA